AAGCCTTCAAGACAGTAGATGAAAGATTGCCACGAACTGGGAAGAGTCTGACTGCCAAAGGCTATAAAGTTCCTTTGGGAATAACAAAGCATTCTGTAGGTAGACAGCAGAGATGGCTCAGCACCAGTGAGGGAGCCTATAGCCAGCCAGCAAGCTCCAGGTTCCTGCTTTGAGTCTCTGCCCTGACCTACTTCAATGATGGGTTGGGCTGTGACCCAGAAGTTTAAGCAGTTTCCTCCCCAACTTGGTTTTGGTCAGTGTTTTATCACAGCAACAGAAAGGAAGGACGGCTACTTGAAAATGTCCAGATTTGACAGCAGCAGGTTTCTGGGTTACTGTGCTGAGAGCCACACCCTTTCTTCCTTGGTAAGGAAGCCCTGTTTGTGCTGCTGTCTGCTCGGGACAGCATGTCTGTCCCAGGGGTAAGAGCTAGGCCTGCTGTGCCTTGCAAGGGGAGCTCAGGAAAGCCTCAGCAGCAGCCAGGTCTCAGCTATAGTCTGCAGAAATGGCTCTGCCTATTCCAGCAGAAACCAGGCTATTTACTGCCAGAGGCCCTACAAGGAGGCTCATTTAGCCAGAGCTAGGGGTGCGTGTGTCATCACAAGCATTTCCGGAAAGGGATCCAGGGACATCTAGGAGACGGAGTCTCCCAGGGTCTAGCATTTGCTGTGTTTTTTGTATAGTCTAAACAGTTACTTCCCTGCCAACTTTGCCAAGTAAGGAACTAAATGGCCAGATATTAGAGGCTATGGTAGTAACTATGCTCTGACAATGTAGCTACTCTTGGAATCTTGGGAGTTGGTTCCAAGACCTTCTCCAAAAATCTGAGGCTCCTCAGGTCCCTTATACAAAATTCCACAGCACTTCAAAGAAGCCACATACACTGCATATCTTCTCATAGTCTTCAAATCATGTACCTAGTACATCCCTTCCTGGTCTGCAGACCATCTCTGGAGCTCCAGAGTACTTAATACAGTGGCAAGTCTGTATAAACAGAGAGCCTTGTTATACTGTAGTGTTCCGGAACTCACTGAGCGGGGGGAGAGAGAGAGAGAGAGAGAGAGAGAGAGAGAGAGAGAGAGAGAGAGAGAGAGAGAGAGAGAGAGAGAGAGAGAGAATCTGAAAAGAGGCTAGAAAAATGGATGGCTCAGAGGTTAAGAGCACTGACTGCTCTTCCAAAGGTCCCGAGTTCAATTACCAGCAATCACATGGTGGCTCACAAGGATATCTCAGATTTTGTCCTAGAGGGTCAGATTTGTGAGACTGAAAACACACACAGCCAAGATGTTCAAAGGACACTGGCAGTCAGAAAATATGGCAAGTAGCCTTTGAAGCCTGTGGTCCAGTTCTACACAGTGAGGCAAGGTGGGAAGAATGTCCTGGTAGGCCCAGCGTGATGGCGCACGCCTTTAACCCCAGCAAACCGGAGGCAGAGGCAGGTGGATTTCTGATTTAAAGGCCAGACTGGTCTACACAGTGCATTCTGGGACAGCTGAGGCTATATAGAGAAACTGTCTCAAAAAAATTAAACAAAAAGTCCTGGTCAGCCTTTAATCCCAGCACTCAGGAGACAGAGGCAGGCAGATCTCTGTGAGTTTGAGGTCAGTCTGGTCTACAGAGTGAGTTCCAGGACAGTCAGGGCTACACAGAGACACTCTGTCTCAAAAAAAAAAAGTCCTGGTGAAAATGGAAATGCAAGTTGGCAAGATAGCTCAATGGGTTAAGGCACTCGTCACCAAGTCTGACAACCTAAGTTCAATTTCCAGAACCCACAAGGTGGGAGAGGAGAACCAATTCTCACAGGTAGCTTTCTACCACACATACACAAATCAAGAAAGGGAGTGTGTGACGGTCTGAATGAGGGACGTCTCCTATGGGGTCAGGCATTTGGACACTTGACCCCCGGTTGGCAGTGCTGTCTGAAGAAACAACACAGCTCTGCTGAAAGAGGCAGTCACTGGGGAAGGAGTGCCGGGAGTTCACAGCCTCACTCCACTTCCAGCTCACTCTCTGCTTGTGCTTGGAGTTGAAGACATGCGCTCTCAACTTCCTGCTGCCATGCTTGCCACCTGCTGCCATGACAGACTGACTTCTTTGGAACCATAAGCCCAAATATAACTTTTCCATAGGTTGTCTTGGACATGGAATTTAATCACAGCAACAGGAAGGTAAATAATGCACACAGAGAGAGAAATGCATGCAAAGTAGAGGCCTCTTCTTATGGCCTGTGTTTCAACTTTGCCTTTTTAAAATTTGAGTGCTGAGCACCAAACCCAGGTTTTCCTGCTTAAGCCCTGTCTTTTCAGCCTTGGAACCTGTCTCAAGAGAACATGTAATACATAATCATCATACAGTAGCCATTTTGGACCCTTGAGGTAAAGCAACAGAAAGGGCAGACACAGAAACCAGAACCCTGATGCTCCAGAGTAGACTATGTCACCACCCACCTGTGGGTTTCCTGTCATATGCCCCAACAGTCAAGGTACAGTTTAATGAAAACATGGCATGACAAGAAGGTGTGTGTGATGTCATGCATTGACCTGGACCACAACTGGTGTGGGTGGCCCCTTTAGACAGGACAGGTACTCCATTTGGGGTTCACTTGGTCCTCAGACAAGTGAGTGGGCAATCCTGCTCTGTGTAGTTTCCAGAATTGGTCAAATGCTTCTTGAGTCTTGGATCCTGCAGGGGTCAGCCACACCCAGCTGGAAGTCCGGTCCCTCCTCCTGTGCTTCCTCTTTCTCTGATGGTAGGTGCTGGCTCCATGCCCTCCCCTTGGTCATCAGCCTTCTGAGGACAAGGGCTGGCCTGAGTCATCCTGCCCTTTTGCCATCCACCTGGGCCTACTCCAGACATCTGTGAGCAGATAGTAAATATTCCCTAAGATAAAGACTAGTAATGTTCCAGAATATTCCACCCTCTAAATTCATCACCAGCTGCTTCTCAACACATCCTACCCTTTGCTCATCAGTCTACCCTGAAGTGCTCAAGCCTTTAACTGCCATCATAAGACATGCTGAAACTGTACCCACTCCCTTGACTCAGGAAGTTGTTTAGGATAAAAGTGACTGCGTAAGACCTTCCACAGTCTGCTCAGTCAACACACACCCCAGGGACCAGGAACTTAGGTGTGGAAAAGACAGATGTTAAGGCAAGGCAGTCTTGCAGTTTTGCCTTGAGCTCTGCTGCCCTCACAGAAGCCCCCAGGGTCTCCAGACTGTTCGTGAACCCGATGGGCAAGGCTTTTTTTGTAGCCATCCTGGATCTAACCCTTAACCTTTGTGTGTCTCCTGTGCTGGGGTGCAGCTGAGCAGTCAAACATGCTGGACAGTATGAGGCTCTGCACCCCTCAACATCTGCCTGTGAGAGACAGTGGCCACTGCACCCTCACTGCAGCCCAGCCATCACCCAACTTCTCAAGCCAAAGAAAGCATGCTCAGCAACTGACGCCTCTCTCCTAAGCCTGGTGGCTACAATCCCATCCATTTCCTTTCTTGAGGGGCTGCATCTAAGTGGGATCAAGTTCTCTGTCCTTTTGTTACTGTTTTATTTCAGTTAACACCAGGTCCTAGGGTTCATCTATACTGCAGCACATATCAGAATTGCCTTCCTTCCATTGCATGTCTGTTCTGTCTATCATATGAATGTATTATATTTCATCATACACACATATGTATCATATTTTGTTTATCTACTCATCTGTCAGGCATGTAGGTTGCTCCCACCTTTAGTCTGTTATGAATGATGCTATGGTCAACACAGGTATGCAGATTATCCACCTAAGTCGGTTCCTTTCATGTCTCAGGCCTGACTTCCTTCAAATCAGTGCAGTTACTGACCTCAGACAGGCAATTCTCAAGGCCAGCCTCTGTTCTACTTGGCAGGGGACAGAACCCCAGTCTGGGCTCAAAGGTGACCTCTAAGGACACACACTGTAGCTGAGAAAGTCAGAGCTGAGAACCAGTAACCCAGGAACTACTTTGTATCCCTTCTGATTTGAGGGAAGGAGAGGAGAGTGGAGGAGATACATACCGCAGCACAGAGAGGGGTGGACAAGGAGGGCCTCTGTTTCCAAAAGGGCAGGCATGCTGCAGAGGCGGCCCTGAGGCCACAAAGGGCAACACAGGCCACAGGGGCAGAGGTTACAAAAAGGAAGAACACGCTTGGACTGGTGGCTTCTCAGAAGCCCTTAGTGAGGGGCCCCTGGGGGTGTCTGGAATGCTCTGATTTGACAGATGGCCCCAGCATGGCAACTCCTGAAGCAGAGGAATACAATGCAGACACTCAAAGGGCCAGGGACTCTGGAGTACCAAGGGCTACAACCTTGGCCCTCAGAGCTGTATGTTTGCATATTCTGGGGTAGAGAGTAATGGCTGGACAAAGAAGTCCAGTCCTTTCAGAGTCCCTCTTCCTGCCAGCTGTAAGCAACTTCCAACTGCTTACATAATAGTTTTTGGTGCCAAAGTGTCTAGGTTCAGGTACCAAATGATGACAGCTGGGGAAGGTGTAGCCACTAGCAGGACATGAAATGCTTTTGTGGAATGCTGAGTCAAATATACCCAAAAATGCCATGGCCAAGGTACAGACCGGAGGCTGTCACTCAAGATACTTAGGAGCGCACGGGGAGGGGGTTTGGGGATAGGGAGGGTTGGAGGGGCAGCTCTGAGGTGTCCTTCCTGGTGATGCCAGGCCAAAATGCTACTCTGATGCACTGTGGCTCTCCTTCCTAGGTCCTTGGAAGAATCTGGATAACAAGCTGTCCTTTTGAGCCAGAGCCTGGGACAGTATAAGGATCCCAGGAGGCTGTGAAGTCAGCCTGATTTGGTCACTGAGAACTGGACCTACAGACTGATGGAGGTGCCAAGGAGCCAGAGCCAAAGATGCGTTGCCTGATGTCTCCATCACAGGTGATGCAATGTCCCCACAGCATGCTGGGCTAGGGTGGGGGCTAGGGGACAGGCTCTAGTGTGTGAGTAGACACCCTGCACCCTGGTACTTACCAGGCTGACGGAATAGTCCATCTATGCTGAGATCCCAGAGGAGACTAAAAGCTCTCGAAGATGTTTCTGGAGGCCATGTTAACAACTAAGAAGAAAACAAATAATTTATTACAGAGTAATAGTTGCAAGACTTTATACAAATTTATTTTTTGTTTGTTTGCTTGTTCTCAACTTCAAAGGCAGGGATCTCATGTAGCCAAGTCTGGCCTAAAACTCAAGGCATAGTTAAGAATAACCTTGAACTCCAGGTTTTTCTGCTTCTCTCTCTCAAGTGCTGGGATTCTGGGTATAAGTCACCAGGAATAGTTTTATACATGTATATAATATATATATATATATATATATACACACACACACACATATATATATATAAATATAATTTAATGCTTCCAATTCAATAGGGTGGAAGGATACTGTCATCATTGTTCCTTTACAGATGCAACAGGGCCACACATCTGGAGACAGCAAGCAAAGTGGGACTCTGTACCTGGAAGTTGACCTTACAGGCTCTGCCTGGGTCGACACCCCCCATTCTCATGGGTCACCTGGTTCCAGAACACATCCCCTTGGCCCGCGCTCCACTCCTTCCACACACAATGTGCAGACTGCTAGAGCTTGACTGTAACGTCTCCTGCTCTATAGCTTATAGAGCTCTATGGCTTCTCTCCCTCCCAGCTGTAGTTCTTAAGGCTTCTGTGTCAGAATTCAATCCCCTGCTCCTCTCCTGCATTCCATCTTCTCACATCTAAAAGCTTTATTGTCTACCAACATGATATAAATTCATTAGGGATGTAGACTTCTGTCCACCCTCCCTGGCAAGGTCCACCAACAGGTGCACCTGTGACTATGGTAAGGAGTGCATATAAGTCAAGAGTGCCAAGGTCTGGGCTGTTTACCTGGTGTGTACAGTGTACCCCCAAGATGCCCTGGGAGAAAGAAGAGGTAAGCCCAGGACCCACCAAGTCCCAGTGACAATAGTTTTTGTTTTTTGTTTTGTTTTTAGAGACAGGGTTTCTCTGTGTGTAGCTTTTCTGGGTGTCCTAGAACTTGATCTGTAGACTAGGCTGGCCTTGAACTCACAGAGATCTATCTGCCTCTGACTCCTGAGTGCTGGGATTAAAAGCGTGCACTACCACTGCCTGGAAACAATAGGATATCTTTTCCAAGGGAGTGGTCAACTGAGCAGATGTGGTAAGTTCTAATGGTCACTACTCATTTAGAATGGATCCCAGGGTCACCTGGATAACCTGAGACCTGCCCAATCTAGCTAATTTTGCTTGGACAAGGTTAGCTACAGCCTCCTATTCATATGTGGAAATGGGGCCTGGCCTTACTTGGCCATGAGTCTAGGTAAGAGCAGCAAGTCTGCCCTGAGGTCTAGTTCCCTCTCTGTCTCTGGTTCTCCTTCTGCCTGAGGTCTAGCTCCCCTGCAGTGGCTTTAGAGAGAGCTCAGCACTCTCTGCCCTCAGTAGCCAGACAGAGGCATCAAGCAGCACCTTTGTCCTTGCTGTTGCTCCTTGCCCAGACCCTAAGCAAAGCTGGGGATCTGCAGCAGGGGACAGGCGTAGGATCAGATGGACTGTAGAACTTTCCCATTTAACCCACACTGGACTGTTGGATCCACCATCCAAAGCTGACACCAAGGACTTGCCCAAAGTGACAAGGAAGGAAAAGCCGCAGAGCCTGAGCTTGCACCTGAGGCTAGGTCTCAACTCTGTTTCCTGTGTACCCCTCTTGGTGAAATGGAGATAGCACAAAAGACAGGAGAGGCTTCTTCACGCTGTCCAGGCCTGAATTCCAGAACCTAGTGGAGACTGAGCCATGAAAAGGGAGGGCACTGCTTGCCTGTCAGGGTCACACAAGGACCTTCTGTGGGCGACATCTTAGAGGGGTTCTTTGTGCCTCCCAATGGCCAATTGTGTATTCTGTCATACCCTGTGCATAGAGCAGAGAGAAACTGTACTGCGGGTACAGAATAATGGCTTGACTGTTCCCAGCTCCTACCCGCCCTTTAGTCCCAATCTCCCCACCCCAGGGACTGGGAGAGGGACCAGAGTGGCAGCTATACCCAAGGGTCCCAGGGGTCGGCATCCTTCCCCTCCAGGACAGTAGCACCACAAGGGTCCCCAGAGAGTTCAGAGAGAGCTCTATCTGGAAGGCAGCCAGCCTGCCAAGCTTGAGAAGTACCTGAACATTCTACCCTGCATAGTGGCAGTGATTGACAGCTGGGCTCCAGGCCTCAACTGGCAACTCTGGTACCAGCTAGAATTTGTGACCAGCCCATCCCCGGACAGGGACAAGCCTGGGCGGGGACCACGGCAAGGCAAATGCAGGACATTTGGGTGGTAGCATTAGGTCTTGGGCTGTCTGCTAGCCTCTCACCTACCAGAGGTTTATATCCTCACACTGAATGTGTATTGCCTCAAAGCAAAATGTTCCTCCATGGAGGAAATTGGTGCAGAAGCAGCTGTTCTAGGCTTTTCCAGACCACCACAGCTTCACAGAGAAGCAAACCCTTACAGAGAGTCTATAGCAATGGACTCATGAGTTCTGACCTACAGGGCTGCAGAGGGGCTTTGGGTGCCCCCTCCAGCTGTGTTCCTGGGATGAGCCATTCAGGACGGTGACAGCAGGAGTGGGAGGGGCAAGGGGAGAAAGATGGTGTTTATGATGGACTCTCTTGTTGACTAGAAAGAACCCAGTCACTCAGTTCTAAGCCTATTAAGAGCAACTCCAAACACCACAGGAAAGACACACCCCTTACCTGATAGGTAGCACAGGAATACCCTAGAGGCACACAGTCTCGAGGTGCTGAACAGAGACTTCCAGACAGATTCCATCTCTGGGGTTAGTTGGCTCCCTGAGGATTAATCCATACCAGCCTTCCTCCATCCCCTGGATCTGAAGTATTGGACCTGAGTTTACAGGGCTGCATCATTCCCGCCACCTAGTGGCAGGTCTGTGTTTCTTACCTTGAACAGCCACTGGAGCAGAGGTATCGGGTAATCAGAGGCATGCAGGTAGAGGTTGCTCAGGAGGCCCTTGTGCAGGAAGGAGAGCTGCTGGGGCAGTGGGGACCTGTGGGGTCAGGGCAGTCAGGTTAGGGTGGCTCCAGCTGACGGCACAGCAGCCTTCCTTAGCAGGCAGGGGCCCCTTGGCAAGCTGGTCTCAGGGACACTGCTGGACTCACCTTTGCTTCACCAGGATGCCATGAAGCACATGGGATCATTAAGGACAAATGTACTTTTGGAGTTCTTGGTATGAGACATCATGGGAAGGAAAAAAAAACTACACAACATCTCCAATGCCTCCCACAGACACACTTCATGGTGTTTTAAATCCACAACTGACTAGTATTTGCCCTTGTTATTTGATAGAGTGGGAAACCAAGGTAAGGATCCTGGCCAGGTAAGGGGAGAAACCAGGGGTCAGCCATCCTTGCCTGAGGCTCCTTATGGGGCTCCAGTGGCAAGGGGCAGACACAATTACCTGTGGGCACCTGCATCTGTGGGTCTAGTTACACAGTTTTTCCACCTCATCTTGTGGTTTTTCTGACACAGAGGGGATACCTGAGAGGATGGGAAAATAACAGAAAGGGGCCCAGGACTGGGGGCTTCTGGGAAGGAAACACCCAGAAGGGTTCCGTTCCATGAAGCCTGGGAGTGTGTGTGTGTGTTCTGGGCAGTAACATGATTTTAACCAGAACCTGTGTGTGCTGTCCTGCATCCTGTCAGAACCAGGTTGTTGGCAGGGAGATAAGCTCTGGCAGCTCACCTTGACCTGTAGGACCCGGGTCTTTAGAAAACAAAATGGGGTAGTTAGTTGTATGGTATATTGTGTGCAGCTGTAGAACTTTGGAAGAAACTTTAGAAGGCTTGGTTGGACTTAGTCACCTTTGGAGTTGTTGGTCACTTGAAATTGGGCGTGAAGTAGGGTGTTCACCCTGAATGCATTTTTGTGCTTTTTCTTTAGAGAAAAGCCCAAAGATGGCCAACTTGGATTCCAGGAAATGAAACCATGAAGTGAATATTCAGATAACACTGTGTGTGCAATCCTTTTCAGCCAGCCCTCCCCGTTCTACTACTTTTTTGAAAAGGGCATCATAATGCCATCTGCCAGGAACAGAATGCTCCAAAACCAAGATTTTCCCTTGAGCCAAGCTGCTGGCACTTTGAGCCTGTCCAGGCCATTTACAACTTATATATCTTTACAGTCATTTAAATTTGGAAGAGAAAGAGACATTGTTCCTGTGGTCACGATGGGTTAACTGTTTGAAACACCTTCCTGTGTGCATACAGGTCCTACCAGTTCTGTCCCAGGTGCCTGTCACAAGGATGCTTTCTTGATGCAAGCAAAGGGACAGCACCCCCAGCAACGGAAGTTGAAGTGCTTTGCCCACTGGCAGGACCTGCTAAGAGGCCTGTGTCAAGGCCACTGGAAAAAAGGGGATTCTGGGAGATATAGGCTCTGGCATTCTTCCTGGGTGGGGCACCCTGCCAGTTGCTCAGTGGGGGAACCAACTGCACAAGCCCCTGCTGGCCTAGAGCAACACATTTTCAACTGCTGCTCTGAGGGAGTATCACAGTGTCTTCCTTCTGCTCCTCTGGCTTCCCAGTGTACTTCCTGCTGGAGAAACGAGAGCTGCCTGATTTCATCCCCGTCAAGGTTGATTTTATCCATAAGGCAAGGAGCAAAGGAGCCAGAGGAGGCCTTACCCCACAGTGCACTGCAGGAAACAGCTTTCTAGGCATTCTAGGTCTCCAGCTAATGAGATGCAAGAAGTGAGATTAGACTGGGGAATGAGCCAAGTGTAGTTCACTGGATGTGAAGGGAGCTGCTGATCACAATGACACAAGACAACCTAGTGCAGATACTAGCCTGACCCTTAAGAGGACAAGCACACCCCATAACATCCCTGGTCAGGGAGGCCTGAAACAAAAAACGAAGGAAGATAGCCATGGGAACTCAAAAACCTTGGGTGACACAGTCAGCTATCAGACTCATAAAAGCCAGTGTCCAATCACCAAGAATGATGACACTAGGCCAGAGAGATAGCACAAAGGATAAAGGTGCTTGCTGCCAATCCTGACGACGTGATCCCTGGGGCCCATACGTAGATGGAAAGAACTGACTCCTGAAAGCTGTTTTCTGGTCTCCACAGGCATGGTGTGGTATGCATGTACACACACACACACACACACACACACACACACAAAATTAAACAACATCAACAAAAGCCCAAAATAAGAAAGAACACTGATGCTGGGTCCAAGTTCATGCCTTTGCCAATACTGAGGTCAGAAGTTAGCTTGAGAATGCCAGAGGACTCTGGAGAAGGGAGGAGCAGCAGATGCCACACAGTCCAGGCTGAGCATGAAGCACTCAGCTGTCATCCCCAGAATGCCAGTGAAGAAAAGGTCCCATGGAAGGTCCTTAGCTATGACTGGAAATGAGAGAGACAGAGCACAGCCACACTGTGCACACTGCTAATGCCCAGCCATCACAGGGCAGATATCTATGTCCTCCCTGCCGGCTGCAACAGAAGGGAGGGAGGCAGGAAGTCGGCCAAAAAAGGAGAGAGACAGCCAGCAGACAGCAAGTGGGGGACCAGCTTGGTTCACATGGTGGGCTTCTGAACAATGCTGCAGCCTCCTTGGAAAGTCTGACCCTGATACTGTTCAAGCGAAGAGCCTTCCAGCTTCTGCTGCAAGTCCACTTTATGGGCAACAGTCCCAATGGGAAGAGTCTCTAAATGCCGCGCGAATCCCAGCGACAGCAGAAGGATAAACACCACGGGGAACTATTTATACAGTATCGCTTCCTGGGCCCTTGCCAAGTTTTCAGATGCAAAGTCTCAATAAAACGCCCAAACAGAGTAGGACGAATAACGCTAGAAACGTCTGCCTATGCCGCTTTTCTTCTTTGTTAAGAGAAGAGAGTGAACACCACCCTGTGAGAAGCCCAGGGATGCTGGCAAAGTGGCCCAGCGTTGCTTCTTCCCCTTCATTCTGGGGGTACCTGTGGCCAGCAAGATGGTCCACGTTCCACGGCTAGCTCTAATCTGGCACCCCCTCTTCCAGGAAAGGTGCACACAGTAAAACAGGAGCTTGAGCTGTGGGGGCCCAGGTTAATGTAGATACTACATGCCACACAAGCTGAGGAAGTTCAGACTTATCCATTTCCAGCTTCCTCCCAGTCCTGCAATATTCAGAGGAACAGTGTAGGCTGCACCTAGGCTTCCTGACAGCTCCTGTGCCCTCACACCAAGAAACACACACACACACACACACACACACACACACACACACACACACAAGTGAACACTGCAGGGGCTAAGGAAGGCAGCTTCTACCTTCCTGGGCCTCCATCTAGTCCAATGCCCTTTCAGCTCCCTATTTGGGAAGATAACATTTCCTTTCAATGGCTGTCAATGAAGGAGGAAACAAGGTTTGCCTTCTGAGACCCTGGGAACCAATGCCTGCCAGTAAGGCATGTAACTCTGGTCCTAGGGAACCAATCTGAAGTCACATGTCAGTCAGCCTGGTGATACACAAGCGAGGGTGCTCTGGGGAGGCTCTAGTCTCATGGTGGAACCTGAGGTTCCTGTGTCTCATGGTGGAACCTCAGGTTCCTGTATAAGAACCTGAGAACCCGCATGAGGACCCCAGGCTTGGAGGCTGAGCCTGTGTCCTTGCCCTGCCGCTCCAGATGGATGGCATGCTTGATCTACAAGGACATTTCCTACTTGGCTCAAAGGAAAATGTTCTCCTTTCATGGAAGGTACAGAGGTGACTCTACTCAAGAGGTGATTATTAAAATAACAGCACCCACTTCTCATCCCCTAAGGACCACCATGATACCTGCCAACTGCAAAATGTTTGAAAAATGTAGCAGTGCGACTTGAAAACTTACTTGTTGGCTCACAAAGCATTAACTTTTAATTGTGTGCACGAACATGCTCCTGCACATGCATATGTGTGTGTGACGCGTGAATACAGATACATGTATACCACAGTTCACCAGTGGCGGTCAGAGGACAACTCTTGGAGATTGATTCTCTCTCTCCTTCTCCTTCCACTGTGGGTTTGAGGGATAAAACTCATGTCACCAGGCTTAGTAGCAAGTGCCCTTCCTGCTGAGCCACTCCAGTGGCCCAGGATTGACTCTTTTTATAGAGAAACCTTGTAATCTGGTACTTTCTTCTCTCATGTTTCTGACCAATACTATAGGATCCTGATGGGATGGCTATTGCTCCCACTCTTATGTCTAGACTGAAGACCTGGGTATAAACAGGAAACAAAAGATGGTCCAAGGAAGTGACCCTTGCCCAATGCCCAGCCTCCTTTACACATAGTGTCACATTGCTGTGTCACACACATAAGGACATTCCTTCAGAAAGCAAAGATTCAATGCCACCGATCTGAGACATTGCCAGCATCATGCCCATTGCTCATTAGCATATCAGAGGGAGGAGGGTCTGAATTCTTCCTCTAGGGAAGCTGGGCAGCCACCTGGCTCCCTTTGGCAGGGCAGCTCTGATCCAAGATCATTGTTCCATAGGCCATCTCATCTGTCAAACACTTCCTGCCACCAGTCAGCCTGTCAGAGGCAGAAACCTGCCATTGGTATTACTCCCCACCCTGTTCCTCCCCCACCCCTGGTACTAAGATAGCTTTCCTTTCTCTGACACCCAGTCAGCTGCTTCCCTTGCTCCTCTGTCTGTCTCCTTCTCCCTTCCTCCTTTCCTTCTCCCTTTCCTCACTCCTTATCTGGCCCCTTTTTACTATGGCAAGGGTTACCTTTATCAGGGGTCACGCGCACACCTCATAGCTTCATGATACCTTCTAGGATTCTAGACATTGATGCACTATTTGCAACACAGAAAAGCTAAAAACAATGTGTATTTCCAAAAAACAAGGAAAATGTGTATGTTAGGGCATTGAAACAACATATAGTTACTTATGATAGCATCACACTGTAAAACTAATTCTTGGGACTTTGCTCTGATACCAATCAGAATAATCTATAAACATTTATGGACCAGCAAGATGGCTGAGATGGAAAAAGTGCCTGTTCCCATGCCTGCTGACCAGAGTCCAATTCCTAGGATCCATGTAGAAGGCAAGAGTTGACTCCTAAAAGTTGTCCTCTGACCTCACGCACACACATATAAGACAATCCAACTCTGAACACTGAATGATATGGGTAAGAAGTTACTGTTCTTAGGGGCAACAGCATCTAAAAGTAGAAAATGCTATGTTGCCAGGAAGGACCAGAGAGACAAGACTGTCTGACCCTGCTGAAGTTGAGCAATAGATATGTGGAGGCAGGTTATACTGCTCATTGAACTCATAAGCCTGTAAACTTATAGGATAGAAACCTTCAGGGGGACTGGAGAGCAATTGTTGCTCTTGCAGAGAACCTGGGTTTGATTCCCAGCACTCACATGGTGGCTCACAACCATCCATAACTCCAGTTCTAAGAGGTCCAGTGTTCTCTTCTGACTTCCCAAGTCACCAGGCAAGTGCAGACATATATATCCAAATCTTTAAAGCTGAGATAAACTGAGAACTAACAAGATCAAGCTCATTTGTGGTTGAAGTAGGTCATGGAGGCCCCTTCTCTGTCCGTTTGACCTCCACAGCAGCCACCAGCCCATAGGTGTTATCCAGCTGATGACAACTGCTCTGAATTCTCTTTATCTTTCTCTTGTATTCTTGGACATGAGCTCACAACTGCCAAGCGTTGGGCATGACTGTGGTAAACCGTTTAAAAATCCCCTTACAGAGCAATTCGGCAGTGATTGTGTGATAATGAGCATGAATTTACTCCCCAGAAGAGAAGGAGCAAGGCAGCTGTCCCTATTGTTATCAAGCATGCTTCTGGCTGGAGACAAACTGCAGTATTAATGGCACACAGACTGAAGGCAGTATCTCCAGCAAATATACTAGTCCCTCGCTGTCTGTGGGGGATCTGATTCAAAATGGTGACTGGTATTAACCACTACACAATGTGTGTCTGCGTGTGGGTATGGGCACCCCTAAGTATGCACTGTACAGGCACCTGTGGAGTTCAGAAGAGAGAGTCATATCCACTGAGAACGGAGTTACAAATGGTTGTGAGTTGCCCCATATGGGCGCAGTGTACACTCTTAACCACTGAGCCGTCTCCATCCCTTCCATCTTAATTTCTGCTTGAGCTTCTGCCCCAATTTCTCTTCATGATGGCCAGTCTGTCTGATTACAGTTATAGAAAACAGAAAATTAATACAATTACCTCTAACCATAAAAGGCTACTTATTCATGTTGTTCAAAACATTGCTTTGGATTTTATTTGAGGTGGCCCTTGTCCCTGAACAGACTACACTGTTCCCCTGCACTCCCCCTACTATGTGTCTCAGAGTTTCCATTGCTGTGATAAAGCACCATGACCACAAACAACTTGGGAAGGAAAGGATTTATTCTATCTTATATTTCCAGGTAACAGTCCACCACTGAGGAAAGTTTGAGTAGGAATTCAAACAGGACAGAAACTTGGAAGCTGATGCAGAAGCCATGGAGGAATGCTGCTTACTGACTTGCTCCCCCTTGGCTTGCTTAGCCTGCTTTTGTATAGCCCTGAGGATCACCTGCCCAGGGGTGGTACCACTCACAGTAGGCAGGTCCTCCTGAGTCAATCATCAATCAAGAAAATGGATCACAGACTTGCCCATGGGCCAATCTGGCAGGAGTATTTACTCAATTGAAGTTCCAAACTGACATAAAAATAGCATGCTTACCTGAGGAACAGCTCTTCCAGTTGACTGTGTGGCTTTAGACTGGAGGAGTCCAGGATGCAAGGCAAGGGCTGATGTCTAGGCAAAAACACAGTTTCACCTGGATGCACTGGCGAAATGACCTGCAGGGATATGGAGAACTTCTCCACGAGCATCCTGGCAAGGCAAGGGGCAGGACAGCAGTTAGAGGTGCACCTGGTTCTGTAGAAACCTATACAGTGCTAAGAGGGGAACGAGAAGAGGGCCTGGGTATAGCCAGGGCCAGGGTGGTATCCAGCAAGGGGTGAGAAGGTACCAATTGATGGGGCACCATGAGTGTGGGTTTCCATGCGAGCTGGGCCAGTGACCCTTGAGCTCCAGAGTTAGTGAGGATCTACTGCTCAAGAAGCCTGCTGAAATGCAGATCCCAACCAGCTACACTGCCTGTTAGCCTGTTAGGAGATCTGCCCTGGGCACACAGACAGGGAAGGAACAAAGTGAAGAAGGGACTCTTTGTAATTCTATCATGATCCATGGAAACAAGATGGGAAGGGAAGACAGTTAGGTCAATCTTGAGAACCAACTGAATCTCTATACAATGAGCTGGCACAGATAGTCAGTAACAGGACCCCGATGGAAGAAGCATCAAGCTGAAGACTAGGGTGAGTTGTGTGTGTGAGTCTGGGTGCGTGTGACCTCTTAGCAGACTCCAAGATCCTAAATGGATGCCTGTAATTGCAGCTAGTATTGAAATCATATAACATAATGCCTTTTTCACAACCAAATTCTTGTCACACGCCATGACTGTAACTTACTCAGTTTGAAACAGGAAAACTCGCACCAATTTCTTTTTCCTTTGCCACAGCTTTGTAGATGGAAGATCTGTTCTTCTGTAATCTTGGCAAACCACAGCAATTTCCCCCTTTCTTTTTTTTCTGTTTTTATTCTTTTTTGTTTTTTGTTTTCTGAGACAGGGTTTCTCTGTGGCTTTGGAGGCTGTCCTGGAACTATCTCTTGTAGACCAGGCTGGCCTTGAACTCATAGAGATCCGCCTGCCTCTGCCTCCTGAGTGCTAGGATTAAAGGCGTGCGCCACCACCGCCTGGCCTCCCCGTTTCTTTAAATTGGGTATGTTCACCTTTTTTCTTAAGTGTTTTGCAGCCTTTTGTTGCATATCTGAACTTCCTGTATCACTACTCTGTGCTTTGGGACTGCCATTAAGTAAAGCAGGGGTTACCTGAACACAAGCATTGATCCTGTGGCTGCTAATCTGTTCAGCCAGGCTCCAAGTGAGTAATGAGTAAGTAGCATTTTTAGTGTGGATCCAAAGGGCAAAGGGATGCATACTGTCCTGGGCAAGATGGAGCAACACCATGAGATTTAGTCACACTACTAAGCACAGTGTGCAGTTCAAAGCTTATGCACTGTTTGTTTTGGAGATTTTCCATTTTATATTTTCAGACAGCAGTTGACTATAGTTACTAAAAGAACAACAAATGAAATCAGATAAAGGGTAACTTCTCTACACATGCAGAACATAACATGCCTAGACAAAAGAGTGTCCCCACATGATTGACACTCCCAGCTATGACCCTTTTGGACAGAGATAGGTAGGAAGGAGGGGAGGAGTATGTTCGCTCTATAAAGCCATGTTCCTCTTGCTGTTCTAGTAATACAGCATACACTAAAAAACAATAGAGAAAACAAGCTACAGATATCATATTCCCTTCTCTAACTAGAAGGTGGCCATGGGTTCCAAACCAGATGTGCTTGCTGTCTGAGACATTAAAAACCCAGGAGGAGGAGAAAGTTAGGGTCTATCAGAATCTGGGACATGAGTGGCTGGCCTTGGTGATGGGGTCACATACCCTGCCACCTAATAGTCAGCCATGTGAATCTGACTCACTTTCTGGCCAACTGACCCAAGGGAAGACTGGTGGCATCACAGGGCTGTCCTGAGGACAAATGTCACAATAAAAGGGATAGATGGTGGAAATGCAGATGATTCAGGCTCTGTAGACTTTCATAAAGAGTCCTGTAACTACCATACAAATAGTAAAATAACATTGTTTGGTCATATCTTTGCCATTAGAATGTTTTATCTATCATAGCTTCTTTTGTTACTTTTCTAGCTGGAAAAATGTACAAGTTATTTAAAAATCAGTAATAAGTAGGTTCATCTATAAGGGGGTCCTAGCCCTTTCCCCCAAGCCATCACTCAAAGGGACTTTTGTAATGTGAACTGTAATGTATGTGTATCATTAGAGATTCCGAGACACTGTCACACATCTAATTAGGGATTTCCTGTGTAGCCTAGAGCGGAGAATAAAGGGCCATGTTGTGGTTTAAATATCTGTCTCTCCCTTCCCCTACCCTCCCCAGTCTCAGCACACACATAAGGTCTTTTAACTTTAAGAAAGAGATAATTGAAGATGTCATCCTGCCAAGATTCAAGCCAATCCTTAGTGTATGAGCAGACACTTTGCTGGGGATGATCAGGGTCCTTTCTACCACAGACAGTTGTGGCGCTCACATGACGTCTTGTCTGGCAGATGGTGCCTAGCCCCCACTCTTGGCCTTATCCCTCCCAACCCATATTGCCTCGCTGGCCCTCACCACTTCCTCTGGCCCCATTCAGACATGGAACAGGTTGGCAGTTTTCTACACCAGTGAGTCATTTTTTAATTTTAATGCATAAGGCTGAACGATCCCACCACAATGATCCTACATCAAAACCACCACCTCAAAGTGGCTGTTGTCAAAGAGGCTTTCTTAGAGCATCACTGGAGAATATCATGTGCCCAGAAAATGAGCCATGCTCTCAAAGCCACAAACACCTTCTGCTGTAAGCAGCTACACATAGCTCCTTTCTGTGTGGAATTTCCTGACCTTCAGGCTGACTTCCACAATCCTGTGTGCACTCAAGAGAAAGGTCAAAAGGAGTAAAATTATTCTTACTACCGAGATTTAAAAAGCTATATTTTTTTAAATTTTGGGCCAGCAAGATGACTCAGTGGTTAAAGGCACTTGTCATCAGACCTGAAAACTTGAGTTCAGTCCCTGACACCCATATGGTAGAAGGAAAGAACCAATTCCTATGAATGTCCTTTGACCTGTACACATGAGCTGTGAGACATGCACAATTCACCCCAAATAAACAAATGTAATAAAAGTTTAAAAGTCTTCCTATGTATGTGTGTATGATGTATTTGTGTACCTGTGTGTTCATTTTAGGTCAGAGGACAACCAGGCTGGCCTGGGATTTACAGAGATCTGCTTGCCTCTGCTTCCCAAAGCTAAGAACTACCACATCTGTTTTTTTTTTCCTTTTCCTTTCTTTATGTGTCCTTGGCACTGTGCACTCCAGGACAGCTGGCCAGCCAGTTCCCAGGAGTCTCCCGAGTCTGCCTTCCATCTTACTTTTAGATTCCTAGAATCAAAGAGGCAATGCTATGACCAGCTTTCCATGGCTTCTGGGGATTTGAACTCAGGTCCCCATGCTTATCTAGCAAGTGCTTTGCCCACTGAGCTATCATTTCAGCTCAATACAGAGACTTTACACAAATTATAAGAGGCTTCATTCCAAGATTATGTGTCCAGTGAGTTGAGGGCCCTGAAACCAAATCCACAGCCTGTGTCTGGTTCCAGTGATGCCACCACAGCATTCCACACACTGATTCAGCTCAGTCTCCTGTTCCATCGCTTGCTTCCACAGGGGCCTCCTAGGAATCAGGCAGGACCTGTACCTGCCCTGCAGGAATCTGTCTGGAGCCTGACAACTTCCAAGCAACCCTGGGTCCCCAGGCAGCATGCGAAAGGAGCTTGTTGTGCCCAGCTGGTGGCTGTCCCAGGCTTTCACAATGAAGAGGAGACAGGAAAAACTTGAATAAAGCCTGCAGTTTCATCGGCTTTTAGTCATTCGCTGCTCCCTCCAGTCTCAGGGGCAGTAGCTACAGTCAGACAGCAATGGTTCTTTGGGTTGCTTTAGGACCCTGGAGCTGATTTTGACCTCTGATCAGATAGAATCTCAAAGCTGCGTACATGCTCACTGGATGACCGCTTGACACTGGAAGATGAAAAGCCTTATCCTCTGAGCTCACTGGTGCAGCCATTTTCTTTCTTTCTTTCTTTCTTTTTTTTTTTTTCTTTTTTTTTTTGGTTTTTCGAGACAAGGTTTCTCTGTGGTTTTGGAGGCTGTCCTGGAACTAGCTCTGTAGACCAGGCTGGCCTCGAACTCACAGAGATCCGCCTGCCTCTGCCTCCCAAGTGCTGGGATTAAAGGCGTGCGCCCGCCACCAAGCCTGGCGCCATTTTCTAAATATGTATTGTATGTATGACTGTGCATGTATAGGCCATCAAGTCCTTCACTTCTCTCTGCCTCCAGCCATCTTTCCCCATGCCTGCATCTTTATTCCACCACTATCCATAAGTTCTGCCCTTAAGAGTGGCAGATTTACTTTTTTTTCTCTTTTTTTTGAGTCAGGGTCTCATGTAACCTAGTCTGACCCTGATCTCTTTTGTAGCATAGGCTAACCCTGAACTCTTTTGTATCATAGGATGACCCTGAACTCCTCACCCTCCTTGTCTCTACCTCCCAAGTACTGGGCTTACAAGTATATCCAACCTTACCCTGCTTAGCGAGGTTGTTGGTTAAAGGCTTAGGGCTCCCTCCTCAATTAGGCTGCCTAATGAGTAAACTCTTTTGCAAAGCTTTTTCTCCAGTAATTAGCATACTTCACAGGGAGGAGGAGACTATTCACGTTCATCTTAACAAAGACTAATACCAGTCAGGAGGCAGGACCCCCTAAACCAGAGTCTACCAAGCAGTCCCTGCCCGGGGCCCATTTCCATACCCAGGTATGCGTGTAGCATAGCCAAGCTCTCCTACAGAACTTTTGTTTGCAGGGAAACTTTCTATAGGGAGTTTTTGTGAAATTATAACTCCAGAGCCCAGTCCCTATGCCAGAGATGGCCTGGCTCCAAGCCTAAAGTATTTTGCTGATGTCCTAATCTAGTCTAGGTACAATTTGTGAAAAAGGCAAATTGTTGGTTACAAAGACCTGGTGTGACTCCATTGGGAATCCTGAAGGCAGGACCCCAATGATGTCAGTATATTATCCCTCAGCAACCCCTGGTCAAGGCTACAACCTGGGTTGAGGCTAACGTGTATACTCAGACTCACAAGAAGTCATGCCTGGACATCAAACAAGTAAGGTTACCTATCTGAGTCTGCCTTCCTCTTGCAACTCCCTCCAGCCTCTCCTGCCACAACAAAAGACACCCCCCTTCTGTCTTCCAACATCTGTTTCTTGTAGTATCTCCGTGAAAGTAAAACAAAAACAAACACAATCACCCACTACCACCAAACTAACCAACTGTTCAACCAAACCTCTTGCCTCCCCCTCAGTCCTGATCCAGCTACTGCCTGCCTTTCTTGTAGGCCTCTCTAGCTGCTCTCCAGCCATGCTTGCTCCCAGCAGCCCTAGCAGAGCTGCCCTTGACAAGGTCACAGTTACTGCTGTGTCACTATATAGATGCTGCTGTGTCTCCTGATCTCATGCTGTCTCTAGACTGACTGCCCACTAACTAGTCCAGTCTCCTCCAACATGCTCAGTGTCCTGTTTGGCTTCCTCCTCATGGCCTTGGCTAAGGGCCTCAGCCCTGCTCCACGGGTTCTTCTCCCTCTATACTAGCTCTCCACACAGTCTCATCTATCTTAAGGCTTCTTGTTGGTGGCTGAGCAGGGTCACTTGCTTTGTAGCCCTGGCAGTATTATGTAGTCCAGTCTGGCCTTGAACTTTTAGTGACTTTTCTGCCTCTGCCTTCTGAGTACTGAGATAACAGGCTTCTTTTAGACTTTTAAATATCATCTATACATAGTGACTCCCGACCTTGCCTCTTCTAGTCACCTACCTGAGCTTGACCATAAGGTTCCCCACATAAACTCTATTTCTAAGCCAGCCTCTGATCACTGGATTTTTCTCTATGTAATTAAGATATCTCTATGTTGGGTCTGATGGTACATACCTTGTCTTAGGGCTGTAAGAGACACCATAACCATGACGGCTCTTATAAAGGAAATCATTTAATTGGGGCTGGCTTACTTTCAGAGGCTCAGCCCTTCATCATAGCAGGGAGTATGGTGGCATGCAAACAGGCAGTTATGGTGCTAGCGAGGCAGCAGAGAGAGCTTTACATCCTGACCCTCAGCAGCAGGCAGAGAGAATGGCTGGGCCTGCCATGGGCTTTTGACACACCTCCTCCAACAAAATCACACATCTGAATCCTACTCAAATGTTCCACCAACTTAGTATGAGACATTCAACTGTATGAGCCTATGGGCCCAGTCTCATTCAAACCACCACGTTTGTAATCCCCAAAATTGGGAGATAGGTGGATGAAATTTTAGGTCAGTTGGGAGACCTACTTCAAAAAATAAAAACAAAGGATGCCCCAATCTTCCAGCTGCTGAAGCCAAAGTCTCTGTTGTCCCTTGTTTTGATTCTCTTTCTCCCTTTTCCTCTAGCCAACTTACTAGCAAACTGTCACTTTTACCTGAAGCAGCCAGAACTTGCCTGCCCTGCCCACTGCCTGTTGCTCCTCAGCGTCACTTTTCCTAGACTGACTGCTGGGACTGCATGTGACATATGACACAATTGTCTCTTGTTTTCCATGGGCTCTGGATTGTGACTCCCTCCTTCAGGTAAACTGAAGAAACTAAAACTCCCCTTCCCAAAGGGGTCCCCCCAAAGTCACAGAGACTCCCTGAATCTACAGAATCTTCCTCTGCTCTACCTTGACAGTTCCTCATTCCCTCATCGTAGAGGAGGCCTTCCTCAAGCCCTGGAGAATGCAGCAAAGAGAGGCTAAGCCCCCTGCCTTCAGCAGGTGGGCAAGGTGGGGGCATTTGCCATGCAGCCCATCAGTGGCTATGCCTGTGTTAGGAGATCTCCAGAAAACCCAAAAGGGCAGGTTTCAGAGGTTTTCCTGGGCAGGAGTATGCCCAGAGAGAAGAGGGACGCTCTGTGCTCTTCTCCAATTCTCCTGCATCTCTTCACTGTCCCTAGTATCTTTTATGACAAGCAATGTAAGTGCTTTTGAGCCCTGTGAGCTATCCCAACAAATTCACTGAAGCCAAGGAATAGGCTGTCTGAACGCCACTTTATACTGAGTCAGTCAGAAGGCCAAGTGAAACAGTCTGGGCTTGTGGAAGGTGTCTGGAATGGGGTCGGGGCAGTCATAGGGATGGAGTTCCACATATGGGATCTGACAGTCTCCAGATAGACAGTATATAAACTGCATAGGATAGCACCTGGTGTCTGCTACCAAAATACTTGATCCCTGGGAGAGAGAAAGCCTCTGTCTTCTGTACTCAGAAATCTTCCATGTTGTACGGTGAGTTCAGGAAAAGAAGCCATTTTAATTTTTATCAACCTATGCTCTTTGCCCACGGGTCCCTTCCTCTGTTCCACCTCTGTCCTCAATACAGGATGCCATTCAGATTGTGCATCAGATCAGCGGTAGTCAGCAGCTCACTTGGAAGAAAACACTTCAAAACCCAGTGCCCACCTTTAGCTCCCCAACCTGCGTCCCTGCACTCACCCACTGCTGTCCAACCCAAAAGCCCCAAGTCTGGCTCTCACTGCCTTCAGATCTGCTTAACAGTCACCTTCTGAAAGGTCTTTCCTGACTCCTCAGCCAATGACACCCCTCCCAGCATTCCTTGCCTCTCCTTCCCGTATTATCCTTTCCCATCAGTCCATTTACATAACCTGTCTTATTTATTGTTTGCCTCACTGAGCTAAGAGTCAGCAGCATGAGAGCACAGAGCTTGGTACAAGTTTCTACTAAACACTGACAAGGAGATGAATGAATGAATGCACATGCAGGCAAAGACATGGCCGACTGGTGTTCTGTAGACTGAATGCCTGTGTCCCTCCAAATTGCCTCCAGTGAATCCTAACCCCAATGTGGCAGTGGTCTCATCTTTGGTTGGAACTTTCATGAAGGAGATCATTGTTACTGTATAAGAGATCCCAGGCTGGGACTATAGCTCCATGGAAGAATGTCTACCTGATACATACAAAGTCCTAGGTCCAACTCCAGTGCTGAAAGAAAAAACTCCAAACACACTCAAAACATCTCAGAGAACTCAAAGAGGCCTTTAGTCCTCTCTCCTCCATCTGAGGACACAAGTGCTCTCTCTAGAACCTGACAGGCTGGCACCTGACCTCTGGCTTCCAGTTTCCAGAATCTACTGTGAAAAGCAGATTGATTTCTAAGAGCTGGGCATGGTAGTAAATGCCTTTAATCCCACCACTCATGTGGCCATAGTCTCTTCTCTAAATGCAGTTTTCAGTTAAGCCTGTGGTTTTGTGTACCTATTTCCCCATGAGATAAGGTCCTCTGAACTTGGTTGATATCTGGGCTGTTTTGTCATCTCTGTCCCAGAAGCCCAGAGGCAGGCGATTGTCTATTTCTCGAATTAATGAGTGGCTGTGGCCATAAGAGGGGGAAGTGGCACAAAGTGCTGGCTGAAACTTTGCCCCACCCGTAAGAGGCCCTGCGCCTACCTGTGCTCAGGTGTGAGCACTGCTTCTCTGTAGTCTTCGTCACACTCAGAGGGCTCCAGGTTGAGCTGTTTCTGCTGCAGCAGATGCTTCCATTCCTGCTCCAGGGCCTGTTGCCTTTGGGGGAAACGAGAGCCTGAGCCAGCTGTCAGTACTGCTACCTGCTCTCCACCCATCTCCAGAGGCTACAGGGATTTCACCCACCCCCAAGAACACAGCATGCCACATTCCTGGTGTCCTAAACATGGCTCTGATATTTACTTCCTAAGGGACAGAGTTCTGTTTGGTCTCCAGTGGGCAATGCTGAGAGAAGACAGCTTTGTCACACAGTGTTCAGTGTGTCTTTACTTGCAGATCTTGTTTTGACATTCACTCATTGTGTAACATATCTCCAGATCTGGACCTGTTCTTCTACTGCCCAGAGCGCAGCCATATGGAGAGAGGAGACTTGTTTCCTCTGGTCCTCGGCAGCTGCTGCTCACCACTTGACTCTTCAGTCTCAAGAGGCCAGAGCCTTCCCTCCCATGTCCTCAGACCCTCAGTAGGAAAAATTCCATGTCTTGCTAAGGCCCTGAAAGCAGCCCTATACCTAATGATTTCTAGCTCATGTGACTGGCTCCTCTCATGTCACATGTCTAAGTCTCCATCTCCCAAACAACATAGAACCTAGCAGCTCAGGACATAGGACCCATCAGAAGCTTGGAACCCTCCCCAGGCCCCCACTCTCTTGGCTCTGCTGCTTTCTCAACATCACACCCATTCTTCCAGGACAGTCTGTGTGATCTTTCTTTAACACGCAGAAAAGCACTTCAGCCTCTTAAGATGCTTCCGTGATTCAGAGAGTGTCTGTTCAACCAGTTACCACATCACAGCTTTATCTCCCTCCACATCTCTAGTGCCTGTCAGTACCCAGAGTTCCTGTCCTAGTCTTCCAGGAGCAGCATGGCCTGTCCTATCTGCCTTTACAAGACATCACCCCTCCCTCTCCAAGGTTCAAAGACAAGTCTGCTATTTGGGGCCTTTTCTTAGCAACTTGACAGTATGGAAAATACCAGATCCAAGATATTTCCAGGTGAGGAGTATGGCACCATCTACTCCCTACACCAGGTCATCTCAAGCAACAACCACAACCAAACAATAGTCTGAGATAAGAAAGCCAAAGCAACTATGGAGGACGGAGGGAGATTGACTCTGGAGTGGACAGAATGGAGAAGACCAGAGAAAACAACTGTCCACCCCATGTGTATCCCCAACTATACTCTGTGGGCAAGAATGCAGGGCTGTGAGTTCTGGGGAAAAAGCTCCTGTGAAAGCAGGCATGGAAGCTTCCCTCCAGCAGGAGTTCAGAGTAGGAGCTCCACCTGTGCTCAGTGCACACACACACGCGTGTCTGCATTTAGTCTGTGTGCATACACGCACACAGGAAAGGATAGAGAGGAAAGAACTAGGTCATGAGAATAATGAGCCGGGCATTGGTGGCGCACGCCTTTAATCCCAGCACTCGGGAGGCAGAAGCAGGTGGATCTCTGTGAGTTTGAGACCAGCCTGGTCTACAGAGCGAGTTCCAGGACAACCTCCAATGCCACAGAGAAACCCTGTCTCAAAAACAAAACAAAACAAAAAACAAAGAGAGAGAGAGAGAGAGAGAGAGAGAATACTGAATAATCATCTGTTTACACACCATCACACATGAGCATCTGTTCCTGGCCATGTCACAGTGTGAGGTATCTACTGTGTGCAGGAGGAGCCTATAGTTCCACTCCAAAGGGCCCCTCCACGCAAGCCAACCTCCTCCTTGAGAGTCACTCCAGACTAGACTGACAGCAGCTGCACCCCTAAGGGATATGTACTTCTGACCAACATGACTTTTGCCTTCAGACACTACAGAGGAACAGCACTCAGAGCCCGACTTCTCTATGAGAAGCGTCAATGCTGTGGGGCAGGAAGAAGGCGAGCATGATCAGATGAAGCGAGGAGGAAAAGCGAGCACGGACGCTTCGGTACTGGGGCAGGACAGAGGCCAGACTCAGGCTAAACCACAGCTGCCTTCTTTCCCATGTTCCTCTGATGGGACAGCCTTGTGGCATGAAGTGGGTAAGGCTGGGAGGAAGGGAGACCTGGGATGAGGGTTTTGCACCGTTTTGGACCTGACTGTGAGCCTGTGTTTCTCCTAGTCAGAGCACACTGGGTACGCCATACCTGCTGGGAAGGCTGCTCCACCCCCACAGGGGCTGCCTGGAGTCCTCAGCCTACATTTTTTTCACAAATGACCCTGCCCTATGACAGAGCTCATCCAGGTACTCACCTCTTCTCTTGCAGTAAGTAATCTAAGTTGTTGACATAGCACTCTGAGGCTCCAGAGGAAATCTGGAAAGACAAGACACAGACATGGGGAGGATTTGACATTAATGTATTCTACTCACTTTTCTGAACAGATGACACAGTCCCATGATCTTTTAAAAATTCAAAAGTATGAAGGTTCTCTCCCAGTGCCCGCCCACAGGCAACCTCAGGTGAATACACCTGTGTGCTTTCAGATGCTGCTATATGAGGACAAGCAAGCAGTAATTTCATCAGTCCCTGGGCCTCAAATGGAACCTGCTCAACCTTATCCTGCACTGTTCTTTCCAATCAGAAATACATTCTGAGTGTCATTTCATATCAATGCCAAAGGGATTATGTACTGTACATGTACATGTGTATGCATTTGTGTGTATATGTGCACATGTATATGTGTGCATGTATTGTACATATGTGTGCATGTGTGTATGCACAGGCTTGCATATGTATGTGTGTACATGTATGTATATGTGTTTGTATATGTATGAATGTGTATGTATCTGTGTGTTGTGTTCTCAATTAACATTTGTAAGGGTATTTTTATACATGACTAGAACATAATTCATTAGTTCCCCAGAGGCAGGCATTTAGGCTATTGACAATCTTGAGCTATTGCAAATAATTCAGATACTATGCTTGGAATAAATTTCCTGAGCCCATGGGTCCTTAAGCGTCCCACATCCTGCTTCCCACAAAGACATCCCTGAAGCCTCCACTTAGGATCTCTATTACTGCACTTCAGTTACAGTTTTTGTGTGCTATCCTGGCCCTGAGGTCCCTCTTTGCTGGGAGACCAAGCCCTAACATTAGACATGAAAGCCATGAGGGGCCCCTTCCCATACAGAAATGGCACTGAATCCGGTGCCCCCCCCGCTTTCATTGCAGGAGTTAGGAGTAGAGACATGGTGAGGAGAGGAACCGGCTTGCGGCCTACACTCTCAGCCATGAGAGCCCTTGGGCTGGGGAGAGGTGGAGGGGGCTGAGAGCACAAGGGTGGGGCATGGCTGTGGAAGAGGTGGCCAGAAAGGGCTGGCTTATGGGCGACTAAGAGGGGTGGCTAATGAGGGAGCCAAGGTGGCTACTGGCTTACTTACCTTGGGAGTCACAGCCTGCTGGCTGGGACTTGCCATGTTACAGAACAGTTCTTCCAGTGAGGTGAGCCCCACCTTCCGGTCTGAATCTGGGGACTCCTTCTCCCAGTTCTCGTGCAGTCTCCTGTTCTTGTTTAGGAACTCTACAGGTGGTGGGCTCCAGTCAGTGGGGAACGAGTCTTGGGGCATCTGCATCTTGGGCCTCTTCAACAACTTGGGAGTTAGAGCCACTGTGGGGCTGCAGAGCTCTTGCACTGAGTGGAGAAGAGAGTGGTTCAAGAGACTGCACTTCAGGTCAGGCACAGCAGTGGCTGCTTGGACCCCCATGGATTTGAAAGAGTACCATGGGGTCTCTATCCACCCCATCAGGGTCTCAGACATCAAGCCACATTGGGTAAGGAGAAGGACAACTTGAAATTGCTGTATATGGATTGCAAGGGTAATACTTCCTCCATTATGACTGCCATTGCCCTGCCCTCATGTGTCTACTGGCAGGTAATGCCTACCTCCTCCACAGGAAGACTAGCAAAGTGTTCTGGGGCCTGGCCATCTGAAAACTGTGGGATGCTCTGTCCTCAGAAGAAACCTAAAGACTCTAAATCACTGTGTTTCCCAGGAGGGGCCTGGCACCCAGGAGGAATTCCTTCTCCAGGCCTACCTCAAGGAGTAGGTACTGTGTCACAGCTGAGGGGACTCCTGACTTTTCATTTCAGCAACATAATGGACAAGCAGAAGGTCTCTCTCTCTCTCTCTCTCTCTCTCTCTCTCTCTCTCTCTCTCTCTCTCTCTCTCTCTCTCTCGTGTGTGTGTGTGTGTGTGTCTATATCCTTGAAGGAGAAAAGCTGTATTCTGAGATGACATCCTACATCATCTGGTCTGAGTCCAGGGGCTCCTATTCCAACTGGTTTCATCCTGTTTGTTACAAGGGGTGGGGCAGGGTAATCTGGTCTTGGCACATGGTTAGGGCATATATTTTTGTTGGATGAAGGAGTAATTTAAAGGAAAGCTGGGACTGGCCAGTGAGGACCAGGTTCTGAGAAGCCGGTTTGGCTGAACTGCATTGAAGATGGAAGGTTAACAGCTGGTGAAAGCCTAGAACCCAGTCATCCAAGAAAGTGACAGTTTACTCTACACCAACTAGGATCCAAACTCAACAACAGTGAAAAAATTCAAATAAATAGAACTGTGATATATTATTTACAACATTAAATTTTTTGATAAGTAATCCAAAAATCTAAAAATTATCACAATGAATATTGACATGTGGAAAATGGATTACCACTTACACTTAAAATGGCTCATTTGGGGTCAGCAAGGTGGCTCAGCTGGTAAAGGTGTTTGCCATATAAATTTGGAGACCTGAGTTCAATTCCTGGGACCCATGTAAAGGTGGAAGAGGAGAACCAACTCCACAAGATGTCTTCTTTGTCTGAGTGCTGCACATGAATCAATAAGTTCATGTACACACACATAATAGTAATGCCTCTTAAAATGACTGTTTCTTTTGTTCATCATTTTTTGTTTGTTTTGTTTTGTTTTGGCTGTCCTGTAACTCATTATGTAGACCAGGCTGGCCTTGAGCTCACACAGATTTGCCTGTCTCTGCCTCTCAAGTGCTGGGTTAAGACATGTACTATTAGGAACCAATCTATCAATGAAACATAACTACACACACACACACACTCACACACACACACACAATATCTATACTCGGGAGTGACAGCAACAAAAGCAGTAATTCAGAAAAATCCCTAAAATACAGGCCATCACAGACCCTTATGAATTAAGCTGGCCAAACTCTCAGAACCAAGACTTCATGAACTATGAAGTTTAATTTAAAAAAAACAACCTGACAGCAACTAGATGTAGTGGTGGCTGCAGGGAGCTCCCTATTCAGGAGGCTGAGGCAGAAGGATCACCTGACCTCAGGAGTTCCTGGAGAGATGGCTCAGTGGTTAAGAATATAAGAATACTCACCGCTACTCTCACAGTGGACCTCAATTCCATTTCCAACACCTACATCAGGGGTTCATACTGCCTATCACTCCAGTTTAATGAAATCTGATGCCCTCTCTGGTCTGCACAGGCATCTGTGTGCATGTGTTGTACATACATCAAATCAGGCATACTCGAAAATAAAATTTAAAATAAAATGAAATAATCTTAAAAAACAAACAACAAGCCGGGCATTGGTGGTGCATGCCTTTAATCCCAGCACTCGGGAGGAAGAGGCAGGTGGATCCCTGTGAGTTCGAGGCCAGCCTGGTCTACAAAGCTAGTTCCAGGACAGCCTCCAAAGCCACAGAGAAACCCTGTCTCGAAAAACCAAAAAAAAAAAAAAAAAAAAAAAACCACCACCAACAAAAAAACAACAGGCATGGTGACACATGTCTTTGATCCCAGCATTCAAGGAGGGAACAGAAGCAGGTAGATCTCTGTGTTGATGAGACTAGCCTGGTCTACTCCAGGCCAGCCAGGGATATACAATGAGACCTTGTCTCAAAAAAAAAAATGTCACTAGTCAGCTGGTTACAGATACTCTTCAAGGCCGGTAGTCCCAGTTTCCCAAATGCCCAAGGCCCAGGGACTGAACTAGCAGACTTATAAACCTATGGCTCTAAACCTTAAGAGGTAGGGGCCGATTGTTCCAGGCCAGAGATGTAGGGTTTCAGGCATTCAGGTTAGAAGTTTATCAAAAAAGCTTTAACTGGGGCTAGAGAGATGGTTCAGAGGTTAAGACCACTGGCTACTTTTCTAGAGGTCCTGAGTTCAATTCCCAGCAACCACATGATGGCTCACAACCATCTGTAATGAGATCTGATGCCCTTTACAGGCATGCAGCAACATGCAGGTAGAGCAGAACACTGTATATGTAGTAAATAAAGAAATCCTAAAAACACTAGTAGCCCCGCTCTTGGATGTCACTGTGACCCTCAGCTTCCAGTAGAGTGAGTGGTGGCAGCGGCAGCACCTCAAACAGTGGCATCTAAACAGGCCCCAGGTGCTGGGACCCTCAGCCCTACTGAGGTCACTGTTGTCATCTTTGGTCCTTGACAGGAGCTGGCAATACAGACACTCAGGGTGTCTCAGACTCTTGGCCATTCCCAGAGCTTTTCCAGTGACCAGGGCTGGCAGCTCCTGGTCTCCAGCTTCATGGTCCTCAGGTCCCTATCCATTCGCCTCTCTTCCCCATGGTTTGTTTCTGCCCCCGTCACTTCTGGAGCTCTTCGGCTGCCCTCTTGTGGCCGCTGCTGGTATCTTCACTGCCGTTCTATTGCCACACCCACCCTCTTCATTCATCAGCTCAACAAGCCAGGGTGATAGCAAGTAACAAAAACAGGGCCAGAGATAGCACAGTGGGTAAAGGAATTTACCCAGGGAATCTGAAGCAAATTCATTCCTGGAATCCCTGGTGGAAGAAGAGAACAAACTCCTAAAGCTGTGCATATGTGTGCAGCCAGAGGCATTGAATTCCTAGTAGCCATAGTTATGTAGGTGGTTGTGAGCCACCTGACATAGTGCTGGGAACCTGACACAAATCCAGTGGAAGAACTCTTGACTGCTGAGCCATCACTCCAGGTTGCCTTTGTCCCTCCCTGGTGGTGCACTCTTGAATCTTAGTCCTTGAGAGGTGGAAGCAAGAGGATCTGAACTTTGTCATTCTTAGTTACACAGTGAATACAAGGCCAGTCTAACTATTCTGAGACCTTGTCACACAAAACCACATAAACAATCATACCAAAACAAAACAACCTCTAAAAGAACAACCAATAAAAAAATAGGTAATTTGAAAAGACCCAGGAGAGAAACCTAGGGTTAATGTAACATTTGACAGCCAACAAAGGAGTGTCTCCTGAACAGCCTGCTCATCGCAGTTGACAGGGTTGTAACAATCATGGCAGACCCGCCTGCAAATGAAGGACCGCACTTGAACCAATCACACAGACTTTCTGCTGGGCCACCTGGAGAAGTGCTCCTTCTCTGGCCTGGGTGAGAGTTTACGGAGACTTTGATGGCAAGGAGTCAAGCCAAAGTTGTTTTGGAACAGTCATGGCTGAGTTAGCATTCTGGAGCTGGGACTACTTTAGCAGCAACTAGCTACAACTGCACCGGGGCTTACTAAACATGCGTGTGGAGTGTCCACAGTGTGTCGGTGTGGGCACTCAGCTGGGGGCTTGACTCAGTCCTTTGTGCAAGGTGGCAGTGCACCATCAAAGAATGAATGCTGTCAATTAGTCACATTCCCTACTCCCTAATGTTGTACCCTCTTACAAATATTAAAAGGGGTGTGGACAGGGGCCTAGGGAAATGGTTCAAAGGATTAAGAGCTTGCTGTGCAATCATGAGAGCATTAGTTCAGATCTTCAGCACCCATTTAAAACTCTGGGTGTCAGCTGGGTGGTAGTGAAGCACACCTTTAATCCCAGTACTCATGAAGCAGAGGCAGGAGGATCTCTGTGAGTTGAGGCCAGCCTGGTCTACAGAGCTACACAGAGAAACCCTGTCTCAAAAAAAACTCCAGGTGTGGTGGTACACATCCCAGCTTTTTAATAACGCGTTAATCACTGAACTAAAGCAACAGAAAGAAGTGATAGAACCAATAAAAAATAGTCTTTATAAAATAGTCTAGAAAAGTGAGTCTACTCCTGGGGAGTAGGGAGCAGCTGACTGCAAGAGGTACTGTATTATCTATACTAAGAAAGATGCCCAGGTGTGTAGTTTTTTTTTTTTTTTTGGCTTTGCTTTTTGTTTCTTTTGCGACATGGTCTCTCTAAGTAGTCCTAGCTGTTCTGGAACTTGTTATGTAGACCAGGCTGGCCTTGAACTCACAGAGATTCTCCCACCTCTACCTCCCAAGCACTGGGATTAAAGGCATGCACCATAATACCTGACTAAATGTTCAATTTTCAACATAAAATTACAAAGTATGTAAAAGTAAAACAAACTCTAAGATTATGATCTATTCATAGGAAAGGGAGAAGGGCAAGAGATAGAAACTACTCTTGAGGAAGCCCAGGCATTGGACCTTTTAGACCAAAATGTAATCAATGGTCTTAAATATTTCAAAAGGATTCAGAGACCATGACAAAAAGTCAAATGAAACTAAGATAATGATATGCCACCAAGTTGAGTGTCAGCAAAGAGGTAGGGAGAAAAAAGGCACAAAGCAGAAATTCTAGAGATGCAAAAGTATAAAAACTGAAACGGAAACTACATAACAAAAAATATCTTCCAAGAAAAGTAGAGACATTAA